GTCGCATTCACATGACATCTTAGAATAGCCAAGCCTATCTTAGTCGCATTTTTGCATGTGTTGCATTAGGCATTCTTAACATAGCTAAGATCATGCATTGATTACTAACTAGCTTCTTTTTTGGCTCGGAGTACTAGGTAAGTGTTTATGCTTTAGCATCCTTGCATGCGTGTAAGTGTTGCCATGTTTAGCATGCTTGCTATGAGGCTATGTGCTTAACTGCTATAACTGCTTGAATGCCTGTGGGTAGAGGCTCGATTGCTTAGATTGGAACAAATCGATGATTGTGAGTTTTAAGCCCACTCAAAGTGGCAAAATCATATTTTCTAAGCCCACTCGAGGGTGGCAAATCCGCATCTTAGCTTACTTGCGAGTAGCACCTTCAAACCACTTTAAAAAATAAACATGAGTTGTTTTGTTCCAATCTGCGTGATTGAGTCTATACTTGTATGCCGTGCGCATCACATAGTAAGCTAGCTAATAAACCGGAATAAGAGCGCATGTGTTTTCAAAAACAACATATCATGTTAGTAAAGGCCGATCTTTGATCGAGCGAGTGGGGGTGCTCATTGCATGACCTTCTCCTCTCGTACCCAAGTTCCTGAGCCGAGGTAACTTTGGTGATGACGGACACGTGGCCTTAGGCACGAGTCAAGGTTTCCTAAATTTTCCCAAAACAAAATATTTAGGTGGCGACTCTGAAATCTGGCAAAGCAGTCCATGTTTGGCGCTTTTAATTAAAATCGATTTTCCAAAACGAATTGCCGGATTTGGACTCTTTGGTGGCTTATCAGTCTTACATTGCACTTTGTGAGATTAGATTCAGAACCGTGACATGAGTCCGAACTGTAATAGCTAAGAACAATGATTCACGCCCTCACACGCGGAGCGGAGTTCGGGCAGTCTACACAACCATTTTGTTACTTTTATATCTCATTTCCAACCCCACGATCATTTCTATGAAATCATTTGAAAATCCCTCTTTTTAGTTTTGAACCCGAAATCCGAGATTTGTTCAAAAGCCCATTTCCTTCACAAGGTGGTTTTATAAAAACAAATAGCTAAGTTAAAACCCATAAAGAGGTACGAAGAATCCTTACCTCAAGTTTAGAAGGGTGAAAGAGAAGAATTTGAAAAAACTCGACGTCGACAAAATCACGAACCACTCGGATCAAAGGAAAGCTCTTAACGCAATCTACATTTTATCTCAAAAGATCAAGGTGAGAAGACACCTCTCGGTGAGTAGATCTAAGGATTTAAGTAAGAAAAAGTGAATTTTGAGAGAGAGAGAGAGAGAGAGTGTGTGTGTGTGTTAGGGTGAGAGAGGAAAAAAGAGAAACACTAATGAGAGAAAGGGACTTTGGGTCTATTTATAGTGACTAGATATTAATAGAATAGTAGCTCCAAGGTTAAATGAAAATAACAAGTCAAAAATCCCCAAAAAGTATGGCCCAAGCCGGATAAAATCTAGAAAAAGAGTCATAGGGGTTGACCCATGCGACAATGGTGTCGACCCTCAAGAAGAAAAGCTAAGACACTTGTGCTAGTCAGCAGGCAAGGTGTCAACCCTTGGGCCCAAGGTGTTGACACTAAATTTCAGCAAAAAAAACTCCAGATTCTGTAATAGACAAGGGTCGACCCTTCCTAGACTAGTGTCGACCCTTGAGGCCAACAAAAAGAAGCAATGTCGACACCACCGAGGTTGGTGTCGACCTTAAATTTCAGTAGCTACCCAGGAACACAACAGCAAGAAGGTGTCGACACCTCCTAAACTGGTGTCGACCCTTGGAACAAAACAAGGCAAGGAAAAGAAGACGGTGTCGTCACCAACAAGGGTGGTATCGACCCCTGAAGCCAAAACCAACATAAGGAGAAAGGAACGACCATCATGAATATGGCTTCCCGAATTCCAAGGTAATAAATGGGTTGGGTCTAAATCAAGATCACTATAGCTCTTGCCGATGGGGCTCGATAGAGTATTCACCATTGGTGTCGAAACCTTAAAAACAGCATCAGATGAGGCTGATCTCTTCACAATGACACAGATTAGAGGCCGTTGATGCAGATTTGAGACCGTCACCGAAGATCGGAGGAAAAGGACTTGAAGTTGCATCAATGGTGTTGAAAGTTGTCGTATTTTCGAAGAGTTTTAAAGGGAATGTGTGTGTGCATGTGCGTGTGTGTGTGATGTAAGTGAGTCTCTCTCTCTCTCTCTCTCTCTCTCTCTATTGGTTTTGCTTCGTCTGTAATTCCAAGATGGCGGTCTTGGTGGCGAGCGTTGAATCGGTTGCAACTTAGAAGCTGTTGGGGAGAGTAATGACGCCAGTGAGAGGGGTAGCAAGGATTAGAGTTTTGGGTTTCAACAGATAATATTGTTTTTTGGTTTTGTGTTCAATAGATAGGTTAAAAATAAGAAAAATAGGATTGGAAAATTTCAATTGATATAAAAAAGAAACTTGGTGATTTGGACAGATAAAAAATTGGACATATAAAATTTGTACAGATAAAAATTAGTACAAGAATTTCAACATATAGAAATTCACATAGATAAAATTTCAATAGATATAAATTTTACACTGATAGAATAAAAATTTCAATAGATAGGTGTTAATAAAAATTAAAAGGGTAAAATTGAAAACAAAATATCTTTCAAAATAATAAAATGTACTTTTTACCATAATATTTCACAAAGCATGCATTTCTCAAAAAATAAAATAAAATAGAATATAAAATAAAAATTAATAATAATAATAATAAATAAATAAATAAATAAAACAACAAACCTAACATCTTACACCCTTTCTAAATTGAACTTCTCATCAATTAACTCCCACATGTGGCCATCATGAAATTATGAGGTTGTAAGTTAATGCATTAGTACATGTAATACAGCTCAAAAGTTGAATTCAGTAAAATATGGAAGGTTACTTGATGAACAAATGATATCACTAAAGTAGTTGAAGTATAAAAATAAATAAATAAAATAAAATAAAAAAATTGAAGAAATTATTAAACAAAATCCTAGGGATTGGCCTTGTAACAAAACAAATTCTGAATTTTTATTTTGTCACTTTAAATCTTAAATTTTTGATTTGTTTCAATGTAAACTATTTACCTATTTTCGTTAAGTATAATCAAGAGAAAAAATGTATTTTAACTATTAAACTCAATAAAAATTATATTTTAGACATTTTATGTATATCAACATTGAGTTAATAACTTAAATATTGTTTTATTCAATGGAAATAAGCTAGTTGTTTGTAGTGAAAACAAATCAAAAGATTAAAATTTAAATTGATAAAATTAAAATTTAGAGTTTATTTTGTTATGACAGTCAAACTCTAGGATTTCTGTAATTTTTCCTAAAAAATATAGTACCTACAAAAATGAAGGGGGGGGGGGGTGGGGGGAGGGGGGGGGGGGGGGGGGGGGGGGGAAGACATCTTGATGTCTATCTTTTTCTATTTTTTGTAAGCTGTGTTTATGTTTTTATTTTCGAGCACTTAGCCTATATGTCTATTTTTTAAACTTTTGAGTCAATAGATCCAAGCTTTAATCTTTTGGGTCCAAAAAGAGATTTACTTGTCCAAAATGACATCTATTTGTACAAATCATACTTATCTATCTATCTAAATGTCAATTATATATATATATATATATTTATACGTGTCACTTTTCTATCTATCTATTTGTCTAAATGTCATATATTTATTTATTTTACTACCATCAGTTGTCACTACTAGCCATCATCGCCGGTTACCACCAGCAACGTTCCCTATCAATTTTTCAACAACTTTTTTGATAGGTCCTTATCATCAAAAAAAAAAAAGATTAATCGTTAAACCCAATACCATATCCCCTCATAAATATGAATTTCTCGCTTCTCTTTCGGTATAAGATGCCAAATTGATAAAGCATATCCTTGTCAATGCCAGCATTACAGATACTAACCCAAAAAAATAATCATTAGATTTCCATGTGAAAGTCAATATTCGAAATCAATTTAAAAAATCTAATATAAGTTGATATCCTCCAGCTCAGCCACCTATCAGCGCCAGGTTGACGAACACAAAGACGTCTCGACACTAATAATCACATTCAACGTATTGGCATAAGGTGTCTAGTCATGCTTACTTGGGCTTCCATATTGAAAAAATTTAGGCAACCAATAATAATAATAACTAGTTTACTAAAAAGTACTTAAAAAAATTTCAAAAAAAAAAAAAAAAAAAAAACAATAGAAGGGTAAAACTATATGATCTCTCCTGTCAATTGCCATCACTAGTTTGGACCCAAAAAAAAAAAAGAAAAAAAAGAAAGAAAGAAAAGGCACATTCAACTTCTGTGGGAATATTTTGATCACTCCAATTTCACTACTATTTTTTTTGCTCTCTAATAGTTAACGATAACTGAAGGAAAGATCATATTATAACGGAATTAAAAGTATGAGAATTAAATTAATAAAATTGATACTATGGAAATCAAAGTGGAATTTTGCTCAAATTAAAACAACCAATGATATAATTTACTCAAAAATAAAATATATAACATAAATTCAAGTTTAATTTATAAATTTGATCATACATTTCCTTTTTGGGTTTGGATGCTCTCGACTTGGATAATTAAAGAGATACTATTAGGTTTTGTGAGCCTATTTTGGGGTCTATTTTAGTCATTCGAATTATTAATATTTTTTAAGGCCTATTAAATAAAATATTAATGTAAAAAAATCATGAAAGACGCTAAGATGGGGCCAGGTCAATGACATGTCAGCGTCTCCTTCATTTTTGGCTAATTTTTTGAATTATTTTATCCTTAATTTGTGAGAAGTCATATGGCTGTCTGTCAACATTCCTTACAAACAACCCTTCCTCAGGTAAATACCATATTCCACTCTGTTACAACTCATTTGGCCTGCTTTTTTTTTTTTTATTTATGTATTATTGCTCATAAAAAATTTCATATTTTACACATAAGTGAATTGTGTGAATTTGGAGATCTATATATAGAGGCTAGTTGTGATAGTGGTCACATTTTTCTTTGGGAAAAAGCAAATCATAATATGGGTGGGTTAGGTGATTACATGCCAGCACTGGCTATGTTTGGATTGCAAGTCAGTTATGCATTGGTAGCTCTCTCAACCACGGCTGCTCTCTTGCAAGGAATGAGCCCTACGATTTTTGTTGTCTACGGGCAAGCCATTGCTACTCTGGCCATTGCTCCTCTCGCTTGTTTCACAAGGTCTGTGTAACATCATCATCATCATCTCTCTCTCTCTCTCTCTCTCTCTCTCTCAAACTGCTAATTATAGTTCATAGAGTTGACATTAGTCCAATAGCAAAAAACATATTTTAAAAATTGAACTGAAATTAAAGAAGAAAATAGTTTATTCGTTCTCAGTAAAGTGATTGAGGGATTAATAGAAGTTTTTGTTTCTACATATTACATTATCTCAGTTAAAAAATCAACTTCCAAAATAAACATACAGCCCAATCAAATCATTTATTCAGAAGTTGATTTTTTATCCAAATAGTTTTTTTTGGAAGTTGATTTCCAAACCCAAAAAAAAAAAACCAAAAACAATGCACCAAGAGGAAATTTTGTGTGAAAATAGAAGCTCCTGTTGTTAACATAAAATTTAAAATGATTCATTCTCTTTTAATTTATCATTTTGTCTTTGATAACTGTTCAATTTTCTAATAGATATTATCAATTGGATTAAATTGACGCTGTAAAAAATTAAAGGGCAAAACTACTACAATTGAACTTCCAGAAACCAAATTGACATAAAAAATAGCTTATATAGACTACAAGTGTAATTTATCTTTGCAAATATATGGAAGTGTTTTGGGATAAACAACTACTTTTTTGGTAATTTTTCTCTTCCATTAGACTTCTATTAACATAACCCTTTTTTTCTTGGTGCAGGAGAAAAGCTAGTAGGCCATGTTTGGGGTTGAAGAGCTTTTCCTTAATATTTTTGGCTTCTCTTGTTGGGTAAATTTTCATATGAAGTTATTTTCTTTTGAGTTCCATTTTATGTTAAGGTTTAGTACTCATGTTTTATCTATTTATTTATTTATTTATTTTGACAGTGTTACAATCAACCAGAACATCTACTTTGAAGGTTTGTACTTGGCTTCATCTTCAATGGGAAGTGCAATGGGAAATCTAGTCCCCGGCATAACTTTTGTAATAGCAACTTTTATCGGGTAAAATCGCAAAAACATCCATTCTCAATGGCCACCACATGAATATGAAAACTTTCTAGGAGGATTCTCTCCCGTCCAAAATCTGGACTGGGGGTGTTGTTTGGACTCGTGAGGCCTATCACGGGCCCTATTTCGATGATCTGAATCGTTTATTTTGTCGAGCACTTCGCGTATTTTATCCACAAAAAAAAATAAAAATAGATCGATTCGATAACTGTAACTTATTCAATTTTTCACTAAAAAAATTAATAACAATTGTGTTTTTTAAAATAAACCATATATTTTTTCAGTGAAAAACATAATAAATTGAACAAATTATAGTTATCGGATCGATCTAATTTTTTTGTGGATGAAATACATAAAGTGTTAGACAAAATGAATGGTTCAGATCGTCGAAATAGAACTCGGGGTGGGCCTCATGGACCCAAACAACACCCTCCAATTCAAAATCTAGACTGGAGGAAATCCTCCTCCTTACCGAAAACATCTAAAAAGAAAATAATATCTGAAAAAATACTTTTGGTGAGAAAACTGTTTCTATCTAAATAAATAGTGCATTTAATTTGTCGCATATATGCATTCGCACAGGATCACTACTTTTTTTTAAATGAAAAAAAAAAGAAAAAAAAAAAGTCATGTCCCTCTTATTTAAGCCATCTTAATAATACAAATAAATTACAAAAATTTATTTATGATATGACCATATTAATACTGTAGACAATACTAAATAAATTCATTTCCACGATTGCACAATGTGACATATTTCAAATTAAAATTAATTGTTTTACTCCATCATGTAAGTCGGGTGAAAGCTTGAGACAACAAGCGAGAATTTTGGGCGATATCCCCTTCGTTAGAATATCCCTCCTCTAACAAGATCCATGTAGATTTCACTTCTTAGTTTAATTGGTTGTGGCCATGTTCTTCATTTATTTTATAAGCCAAATCTCATCATGCCAACATATGGATTTTGTTTTGATATGCAACTTGGAATAACTTAGAGGTTGTTTGACATCTAGTTAAATTTTTTTTCTTTTCAATGTCAAATGTTTTTTTAATTTTTGGGTCCATATAGTGTAGAATAATCTATAAATTAAAAAAAGGCCAAAAATGGTAACTGCTTTTTCTTTCTTTCTTTCTTTCTTTCTTTTTTTTTTATTTTTTCTCTAGTGGATTTTTTTTCCAATTTTTTAAATGATTTTTTACTCTTTTTGATCGTCTAGTCGAGTAGAACCTAAAAACTTAAAACTTTTTGAAAATTAAAAAAAAAAAAAGAATCTAAAGGCAATGAAAAAAAAAAAAAAAGAAGGAAAAAGCGAACTAAAAAAACTACTATAAAAATAAATCCCAAACACCCACTTGGTTGTGTATGATAAAATTGAAAATTGAAAACCGAATACTGAATTTTTTTAAACTGAAAAACTGTTAGAAAAAAATTTAAGTGATAAACTAAAAAAAAGTTGTTCGATATATATATATATACATATAAGATCAAATGTAAAATTTATTATTTTGAAATTGTATATTTAAAATTTTCTACTGTGATGATGGTGGTGATGGTGGTGGCAGTGGTGGTGGCGGTGGTGGTGTGGTGATGGTGGCAACAGTAACGATGGTAGTGATAGTAAAAAAATGGTGGTACTTAGAGCATCCCTAGCAGAGCCTCTAAATCATGTCCTTACCTATTTTAGGGGGTTGGAGTTCTCTTATACCACAACATCAGCTCCCTTATACACCACCTTATTTGCTACAGTGACTCCCTATTCGTAGGAAGTCATTGTAGCTCCCTCATATCTGACAGTGGTCATCCACCCGGATGTCTCAAATGAATGATCTGGCCAAAATTTGCTTTACTGGTCTTCCACTCGAATGTCTGGCTGGTCGACCGGCTAGTCGACCACCCTCTTCACTACTCTGCTTTGCTCTGTCCATCCTCAAATAAGCTAAATAATTGAAGCTTATATATTGTACACACAATCATGGATAGATGGAGATAGAGAGAACCTGGGTATATATATATATATATATATATCAATTTGTCAAAGTAAGAGAGAACCTAAGAGAACCTGGGTGAACATCATCCCAGTTTAGAAAATCCAAAAAGAAGATGAAAAAGTGAAAGAATAGGGAAATAATATTTTAAGAAAAGAATATGGAGTTTGTTGTAAAGTAAATGAAAATAGGGAGTTTGTTAGATAAAGTAAATGAAAAAGTGATTCCTAAAATAGGGAATGAATTTTTCAATAATATTTTAGGGTAAAATTTAAGTTGGATGCTGGGGATGCTCTTATGGCAACAATAACAATGGTGATAAAGGTAGTGGTAGTTGTGGTGGCGGCGGCGGCATGATAATGGAGGTAATGGTAGCATTAATAGTGGTGGGGGGTGGCATGGCGGTAGTGGTAACGGTAGCGGTTACGGTAGTGGTAGTAAAATAATGGTGTTGCTTATGACGACAATAATGGTGATGAAGGTAGTGGTAGTGACATGATGATGGTGGCGGTGGTGGTGGTGGCATGATAGTGATGGTGGTAATGATGGTAGTAGTGGTGGCATGATGGTATTGGTTGTGGTGGTGGTAGTGGCAGCAGTGGTGGTGATAAGTTTGTAATAGTGTATAAATTTAGTCATAACTAAGTAAATTTCATATAATTTAATTTTTTTTTTTTAATTTTAACCTACATAAGAGGCACTTAAGTTTTTACGTGATATCAATTGTGGTTATGAAACAGATTTAATTGGTTATCACTTAATACATTTAATTCTAAGTGTTGAATCTAATTATCAAGCACTTCATTAGTTTCAATTTCCTTTTTATAACTTGAGTATGTTCTTCTCATATTGGCAAGAATTTGTTAAAATTTTCCTACAACAAAATTAAAACTGTATACCCAATTGATCAGAATCAAATTTCATTCCATCTACACTAAAAATATAAGTGACCATGCTCATGTCGAAAAATATATCAATCTCTATACCTAAGGTATTTTCATTTAAATTCTTTCTTTTTAACCAAAAACTTATTGATCACAATATGCTTTGAATTTATCCAAAAACATAACATCTTTCACAAAATGTATGAAATTATCAGACTAGAGAAAATAAATATCCGAAGCATGAGAAGTATGGCGAAGATTCTAGGAACTGTCTTCTGTGTAACCGGAGCTGTTTCAATGGCATTGTTAAGAGGGCCAAAGTTATTGAACTTGGAATTCCTACCACCAAAACTTCTTTTGGGCACGGGAGGTGATAACTGGTTGCTTGGTTGTCTTTTGCTCTTTGGAAGCAGTTGTTGCTGGTCATTATGGCTAATTTTACAGGTATATTAAGCTCTTCAAAATTCACATTGTAGGAATATTTATACATAACGGATTAGCGGATTCAATTTATACATTTTATGCTCAAATCGAATCCATGGATCATGTGGGTGAATCACGTGTCTTCATTGATGTCTTCGAACAATTCTCAACAATGGAATAAAACAATTAGAGAACTACCCATACTATTTACAGTATAAAGGCTATTCAATATTTCTATAGAGGAAGAAAGAATAAAGAGTGTAGGAGAGAGAGAGAGAGAGAGAGAGAGAGAGAGAGAGATACTGATTACCTATACGGTTAAAATCTTACTCTCCCAAAAATAATACATATATTATGTGGGAGAGTTATAACCATCGCAACTCTATCTCTTCAAGAGATGAGATAGTGGGTTAATCACACTTATCCCCAGGATAAGTTAATCCAAGTCCACTTTGACTAGGTATCTTCTTATGGGTCTTGGGTCATGCCACCATGTGCGACCCAATCAGGTATGGTTTCTAAACCCGACCCAATTTCCAATAACTCCGACTCGAACATACGATGGCATGACACCGCGCTTCCTTTATCTCAATCTATCCATCAAACATGATCATGCTAGCCAATGGACCGTGTGACCCTTGAGAAGACCTGCATGTGGGAGCTCTACACTAGAAACTCAAAAAGAGCCAATATAGAGACATCAACCTAAAAATAAAAATAGCATCGTATTTACCCTAGACTCATCTAATTACACCGGTCCAAAAAAAATCTCTGATCCTTCATAAAGAATGCTCGATCCTCTCATATCATGCAATATATTCACACTTAATATAGAGGGATGTGAGTTTCCGATAGTGAATATACAACAACGATGTAATACTAGACGATCATCCCTTCGCCCCTATGTCATTTAGTTTAGGATTGACCACTTTCCCAGTGATGTCCCTTAAGGCCTAATCATACATGACCACAGGCAATATACTAAAGTAGCAGAACATCAATCCCTCACCTTATGACATAGTCAAAGGTCACAAAAGGGTACAAAAATAAAAGTCATATCAATAATGACATGTAAGACTCACACGGTGAGGAAGCAGGGATCCATTCTCTCACCTCATTACTTGGTTGCCACGCACATGTAGTATGAATACATGCTACGGTGGAGTAACTCTTCCAAAGAGTGACGTCATACTCGATACACCATATAGATCTTAGTCTAGTCACTCTTAAGTGTACATTGTCACTTTCTAGCGCCTAACCCGAATTCTCTATTTGCTTGCTTTCTAGGCACCAAATGAGATCTCATATCCAGCTAATCATAATAAGCATAACATGGAAAGTGGGTACTAACATCCATGTTGGTCTTTAACAAGACCTCATTTTGGCTACAACCAAGGTGATGCACATAGTGAATACTTTTAAGCCTTTCTTGGCTCCAAAATAAAATAAACCACTAATCTTATCCTTGCTCACTCCCAAGAGCCAAGGGCGATTGCTCGTGTGAGTGAGCTAATCTTGCCTTCTGACATCATCATCTGTTAATCATTATGACACAAACTATAATAGCATCAATATCCTATAATCTCACAAAAACAAGCTATCGATTGAAAAACACAACCATAGTTCACACAATTCTAAATTCCAAACATAGGCCTACTAGCACCTCTTGCAATAAGCATATACAACGGAATCCACCATGTGCGCCTGACACAAAGTGATTCATGATCACTACCTCTTGCGCAACTACCTCTCTAAAGACATTCTAGTGACCAATTTGCATTCATTCAAGATGTGCCCAACTAAAGCATTGAATCTTATAAGGGACAAATTTATACACAACCAGTAAAGCATCTTATTCGATAGTCTAATGAGCAAGGTCATGGTCTAAACTACTTAGTTGACCATTTATGAAAGACAACACTCATCATGCCGAATACATCCACATAGCGTGCTTCAGGCTCCCACAACAAAAGATTAAGGAATATAGATCATCTGTTTCTCCCAGAGACAATATGGGGATTCACTCAATAGTTGAGGCTCTAGCTTGCATAAGTTAATGGGTTTGCAATTTCGCATCTAGAATCATTTTAGGATATTCCTTATGTAAGTCATTAAAGACAAACCAAGAATTGTCCCAGAATAATCCCTAAGAATCATACATCCTAGCATATAAATTACATCACCCATGTTTATCATGTCTAAAACAGAGGACTACTAACCCTAGGTGGCAACAACCCTATAAATTCCTGGCTCATAATGATTAAGGAAAAATTTCTTTTGGACCATTGATCATGCCTCAGTAGTCTTCATCGATCATCTTTGGCCCATCATGGCTCGATGAAATCTAAGAATCACTATTTGGATAACTATTTTCGGCAATAAAAGATTTATCGGAACTAGTAATCTTTTACGCTCCAATCTTTTCGCCATAAAAGCAGAAGGTAATTCCCTACAGATATACTTATCTAATTTCCCAAGAAGAAGTTGGGTCACAATGTCCACAAAGTAAAGTTCCAAACTAATGTCAATCATAGCCTAAGTTAAAGTAAGTCTCAGTCCCTATGAGGAAGTCTTCTCATGGTCTATACCTTCCTCAATGGTGTGACTTTTCAGTATCTAGCGAGCCTTATGTCTTGGAAATGATTATCCAAATCACACATAACTTTAGAACAATTTCGCGTCATAACAGAAAGGTAACCAAATCCTAGAAATTGTTAATCTTTAAGGATTTCATTTTAAAATGCGTAAGATTGATCCACTTTCTAAAAACAGGGAACTAAAGAGCCTTTGACACTATCCTAGGCTCTTTATCATTTTGTAGAGTAATCATAAATGTTTCCCTCTCAATCTCCTAGGGATGATGTGAAAAATTTTCACATTCACTACCACGCAACTAAGAATGTAGAGTATTATTCTCTAATGGAGTAATCCACTAGTAGACACGTTGCTCCCACTGTCCCTAGGATATTAGAAATTTCTTTCCATTCTTAACTAGGCTACATAAAGCACCATACTTAGAATTCTCTATCTTATAAAGTTCCAAAACTCTATTCACGTCACCTCTGCTAAAAAAACTTTATGTGACCAAATACACCAATACATAAGCCCTTTTGCGGCTTTCTAACTTACTTGTGCCTAGCCATTATGAACAAAGTTACACATTCACATGAGAGCAAGATGTCAGAAACGAGTGGGCCCAAGAGGGCCTACTCAAACCATCCGTGTCACCTTTTTGTCAATGTGATTAAGTACAATAAGCTATCGGTTCATGACTAATATCATAAACTAATTCTAATCATCATAATGTGTGAGTTGTCAAAGACAAGTGTAAAAGTTTACACCCAACTAGGTAATGACTCATGACTAACTAATATTTACTAGATCATAAAAGAATGTCATGGAGATATAAAGTGCGCCTAAGTCTCAAATTTAACTAGTAAGTGCTAATCCCCTGCACCTTCAAGTCAATTTGTATTCTCTATACACTTTATTGCATCTAGTTGAAACATGACTATACTTCTCTTGCGATCTCGGTTTCTCACTTCATAGTTAGTTGCAATTAATTCTACTATTCACATGAAGGAGAGAATAAGCTATCAATCTATGACAGCTCTAAAAGCGACTTAAGCGTGAATTAGGCTAAAAAGTCTAATTCAACACAATGCTCTCACGAGCGATATGTCAGATTCTTAGAGTCATTACAACCTTGTCTGCCTTGACCTTTTCATTACTATGCTGTAATTTTTGCGCTTAGTGGTAAATGCCATTCAAAAGCATTAGCCTAGCTAAGAAATCATACAAAGAAGCACCTCTTTATGTCTCACACTCAAGTGTGGAAACGATAAGGCCTCGTTTGAGGAATAACTATTTTAGCGAAAAAGCCAAAAGTCACTATAAGTTATCGTATTACTCTCTTTATTCTGCACATCATTTCGTAAAAAATCAAAAAGTTACTAAAATAGCTTGTTCCCAAAAGAGGCCTAAGTGTCCAGACTTAGACAAGTTGGTAGTGCTAATAAATTTTGTAGCCACTAGGCGCTAATCTTCTCACTTAGTGTTAATAGATTTTTGCAGCTTCTAAGCGCTAATCTTTAACTTCAAGTGATACTTCAACACACGCTATCATAGTGCATGAAATTTTGCTCCATCTACTCTTATCAGTTGGGTAGAGAACAAAACCCAGCTCATATTGACTACTCGTCTTACACTTAATGACTAACTTATTTAAGCTTGCATTTCTTGGATGACGTGACTCTTGGATGTTGCTTCATCCAATGACGCAACATTATTACAAGTCAAATTACAAAGTCAATCCACGCAGCTCAATTGTCAAGATCATATCTAGATTTATTGAGGGCTTACTAATTTCACAACTCCAAACTCGTCAATCAAAACTACTTAGCATGCTGCAAATCATAACGCACACATCAATTTTTATTGCGGCAAACAAGGCAACAAAACCACAACAATGTTGAGTCATGTTTTCTTGCTTTGGCTTAATTAAGGTCTGACCTAAAGTCTCCAAAACTTTCTGGTCATCTAAAGAATAGGATTACATTGTTCACTTTTAAACATCTCTACTAAGTTTAGGTCAACCAAATTAACTTCCGTAAGCTAAGTCAATTAGAGGAAAAAATGCGCATTGGAATTAATTTGATTACCATATCATAATATAATTTTACCGCAAAAATCTAAATTAAATAGTGACAATATTACACAAGTTGCAAGATCAAAAATTCGCTATACTCGTAATCATCTCTTGCGCCATAAGTGACAATTATCCAAAATTTAATTTAATTCATGTGCAAAAATATTGGTTTTTGGGAGTAAATCTACAAAGATTCTTTCAACAGAACAACCTCCCACTAACTATGGCATGCCTAAAGCACGATAAAATATTTAGCATCTCTGTGTTAATTCATAAAAGAAAACTTACTAGAATATCGAATCATAGAATTAAAATTCACCAATATAAATAAATCATGCTATTTAAAACAACAACATACTATAAGTTCTAATCATTTAAAAGAACTTAACATGTTGTATACAGTATTTAAATAATACCATAACATATTTCTATAATTTCTGCAATTTTCTGAAATTGTCTAGAATTACAAGTAATTAATAATTACATAGAAAATCAGAATTAAATATTATCAAATCTGGAAAAAAAAATACAAAATCATACCACTAAATAAGATTACATAAGTAGTCTACTGTAAAAAATTCCAAGACCAAAATCTAAGTCTGAAATTTAACATAAAAATATCGAATTATGTATTGATGAAAAATATTTTACTTTTCAAAAAATTCTGAAATTTTAACATGTTGTAGAAAACTGAATTACGAGTCCAATAGTATAAGCCACACTTCAATCAGAATTATAACAAATAATCTGAAAGCAATTAACATGGTTTTTAAATTAAAACCAACCAAACAGAGCCTTAACAGTGTCTACATTAGTGCTTACCTAAGTGAATGACGTCAGCGCATGTGTCAGTGCCAATGACGTCAACAAATTCATCTTGTTCTCCAATGGCTCCAACTTTTATCCAAAAGTAGGGTTTGAGTTTTCTCCTCAATCGTAAGTCGAAATCAGTCTCATAATATACTGTTTCGAAGATTTTGAAACAATGATTTCAAACTTAAAATTTTCACAACATGAAAACAAAGCTTGTAAAACCAGGATGCAGTCAAAGTTATGAAAATTAGATATAAATCTCAATTTTTCTCAAAAGTCAACCATTCGATTTTTGTAAAACTTTGCAGATATGATCTAAATAATATAAACTACAACATATATGAAATTCAATACAATCAGAGATGGTTCAAAAAAAAAAATCAATTTTATGCACAAATCATATCTATACATATATTCATGCACAAATAACACAAAAACACCCAATATTGGCTCTGATACCAATATAGGAATATTAATACATAGCGAGTTAATGGATTTAATCCATACCTTTTACGCTAAAACTAAATCTATGGATCATGTGAGTGAGTCACATGCCTCCATTGATATTTTTGAACAATTCCCAGCAATGGAATAGAACTACTAGATAACTATCCATACTATTCATCGTATAAATGTTATCTTGTGTTTTTATGGAGAGAGAAAGAATAGAGAGTGTAGGACGGGGAGAAAAAGATACTGATTACCTATACAATTAAAATCTTACTCTCCCAAAAATAATAGGTGTATTATATGGGAGAGTTATAACCATCCACAACTCTATCTCTTTAAGAGATGAGATAGTGGGTTAAACAGACTTATCCCCAGCCTAAGTTAATCCAAGTCCACTTTGACTAGGTCTCTCTTTATGGGTCTTGGGTTATGCCTCCATGGATGAACCAATCAGGTATGGGTTCTAAATTTGACCCAATTTCCAGCACACATCAATTTACATTTTACTATGATCACTAAATATCATTTACAACTTTAACTAGGTACCGGTTTCAGCAAGTTATCCTGACCACCTCTCGCTATCCGCTTGGATGTGTTTCATGGCCACATTGCAATCAGCAGCAGTTGCGTTTTTCCTAGAGCCAAACCCAGAAGCTTGGAAATTACATTCGTATCTTGAACTTGGTTGTTGTTTGTTTGCGGTAAGTATTAGGGTTTTGTATAGGAATATTTCAAAAGCAATTTATTTTGTTTTATGAATATGAAGATCATTGAATTTGAATTTTAAATGAAATTAACAAACAGGGAATAGTGGGATCAGCAGTTTCATTCTTTGTTCAAGCATGGTGCATTTCTCGTAGAGGTCCACTGTTCTCTGCAATGTTCACTCCTTTGTGCACTGTTATAGTGACCATTTTTGCTACTATATTCTTACATGAAGAGCTCTATGTTGGAAGGTATCATTATCTCAACTTCTTGTTTTTAATTTTAAGTTTCAAAATTGAAAGCAATTCAAAGAATCATGTTTTCAAAGTTAAAAAATTGTTATACATTAGTAGAAAAGTTTATGATTTTAATAATTAATATTTATATTGTTTACCTATTTTTTGTAAATTTTTCCTTTGATATTCACTGTGGAGTAATTTCTCAAAAAATAAACATGTCCATTAAATAAAGACATTTATTACTAATGTTTATGTTGAAAATGTTTGTAGAATTCTATAAATAAAGGGCTACACCTACCCATCATTTTCAAAATTGCAACCTCTTTGGTCACTTTGCCCTTTTGCTATATTACTTTCTTGGACTAACCCTTTTGCCCTTGATGTTTCAAAAAAAATACAACAAATTTTACAATTTTGACATATTTATATTGGATTCTCTTAAGATCTTAATGCACATAACACTTGATCTTATTTTATCAATAATTCGTTAGTCACATGGATGGAAAAATAATGTCATCATCTATTTTACACTAAAACACATAATTTTCGTTGCTTATATTTATATGTTTTCACACCATCTACATCAATTTCGATCTATTTAACATTACTAAAAGGGGGTCGGCATAATTATACTAAAATTGTAGGCCTTGCCTATTTTTTTAAATCTCATGAGAGGTTAGTGTAATTTACCCTATTTTCTATCATATTTCATAATTTTTTGGGCATTGTCAGAAATACTTGTTTGTCATTGATTGTGTAACGTGACAAATACTTTAAATTTTGGTTGCATTTTCAAACGGTATAAGACCTTGAGTAACACAACTTTGGAACAACAACTGCCATGTCTCTCATCAATTTGTTAGGCTATATTTCTTAATTACATTTTTTTTCTTTATTTTTTTCTCCATACATTTGATTGTTGATATATTTGTGATAGTTTTTATTTGTTAGAGTCTAAAATTGGTTTCTATTGCTTCAGCTTGATAGGTGGTGTTGGTGTGATTCTTGGATTATATGTTGTGCTATGGGGTAAAGCCAAAGATCTTCAAGAGTCAAAAGTTGAGAGGGATCCAAAGTTCGAAAATGATCAAACAAAAATAGTGCAAATCCTGGTAGATGAATCTGAAGAGAGGATGAGTAGTATCAAAATTGATTTGGAGGAACCTCTTCTATCTGACAAATCAACAAAAACTGATGATAGTTAGAACTTAGAAGGATACTTCCCAAATTTCTATAATTCACTTTCTTGTTAGTAGACTCCAACAATAACTATAACAATAACAATAACAATAAAAAATTCTTAAGCACTCCAAGAAATGTAATGAATGCATAATGGAAAGATTAGTGTATGTCATTACTGTTGGAAATCGGGTTAGGTTTTGGACCCTAGTTTAGGTGACCATGATGGCCATTAAGTGACTCTGTTAGTTTGAATTCAAACCACCTTATCCTAGGGATACAGGTGAATAACCCACAATATCATCTTGTGGGGAGATAGAGTTGTGGGTAGTTACATCACTTTCTAATATATCACTGATACATATTATGTATTATGATTATGGGTTTTGACCGAATAGTTTTTTCTGGAAAAAGTTTTTTCTCTCTCTCTAGCTCTCTGCTATGGGAAAACAACCATGCTTTTGTACTGTGAAAAGTATAGGTAATTCTCCAGTAGTTCTACCCCACTACTGGGAATTATTCGAAAACATCAATGGAGGCACGTGATTTATCCACATGATCCATGGATTCAGTTTGAGTGTAAAAGGTATGCCCGAATCTATTTATTTTCACTATGTATTATCTCTTATTTTTCCTACAACTACAATAACATGCATGAAGTAAAATGTCAATAATAACTCATTGGATATTCAATAAAATAAAAATTAAAAAAAAAATAATTCAAGTTATAGTAACACATGAATCGATCCTCTTATCATAAATGGAGGTGTTTTTTGGGCTTTTTTTAGTCAACTTATAGCTTCTAGCCTTGAAAAAGTTATTTTAGACAGTTTGGTTAAACTTATTTCAAATAGCTTCTAATTCCAACAATTTATTTTAACTCAAAAAAGCTGATTCTGAGAAGTTGTTCATCCCTTACTTCTGATTATCAGCTTCTGTTGTGGACATGTTAACTTACAATTATACTCTTAGATTTTTTTTATTTTTTATTTTTTAAAAAATAGAAAGAGACCCAAACGGATTATAGATTATTATTATTATTATTATTATTATTATTATTATTATTATTATTATTATTATTATTATTATTATTATTATTATTTATGAGAAATGTAGACAAGTAGTGAATAACAAAAAGTAAAAGTTAATTGAAAAAACTGCTTCACAGCTTATTTAACAAACACTACTCAGCAACTTAAATTTATAATCCAACAGCTACACCAAATAGATAACAGCTTCTGATTAAAGTCATAATCTATAATTTGTTAAGCTATAATCTATAATTTGTTTTAACAGCTACACCAAACAGGCCTAATGTTAATAGAATTCATTGTAATTTTTATTGAAAAAGTATTATTTGATATTTTGTTTCCAGTCTACTATTGCACTCCACCGACACTATCATCGCTCTCCACCAGCACCACTACCACTAACAATGGAACTCTTTCTCTACTGTCTTCCACACCACTATCGCTCGTGGCATCCACAACCTCATATCTGAGATCACTTTCTCTCTCTCTCTCTCTCTCTCTCTCCTCCTTCTTCTTCTTCTTCTTCTTCTTCTTCTTCTTCTTCTTCTTCTTATGATGCTTCGTTTTTGAACTTTGTCTCCATATCTCTTTTTCTTCTTCTCATGACACACTTTTTTTCAAATAGTAAAATTTACCCTGGTTCATGATGCAACCCTCTCCTGTAAAGCCATACTTACAATGTGTTTCAGAGTAAAATTTACTATGATTTAAAGTAAAATTTTACTACCATTAAGTATATTAGCATATTGGTAACCAAAGTAAAATTTTATTATTACAAAAAATAGAGTACATAATGAACGAACCAAAGTAAAATTTTACTTTTATATCTATGAACAAACAAACAAAAAAAACTCTTGATTTTTTAATATAATCTCTTTATTTCTCAATTTTTTTTTTAAATATCAAATCTAGGTTCATTTATCTCAGATCTAAAGTTATTGATCTCAAATTTGAGTTCGTAAATCTCAAATCTGAGATGGTGGTGGTTTGACGGTAAAAATTGTAATCGCTAGCCGACGGTGAGGATAAGCAACGTCAACAAATGATGAAGACGGTGGAGGCCATGAAAAACCATCGAGTTGGTAAAGAGAGAAAGTAAAAGAAAGAGAAGAAAGAGAGGGTATAATAGTCAAATAAAAAATTCAAATAATAAATTTTGTCCTTCATACAAGACTTTATAATTATGAAGGGTAGGGGGCTCGGGCTTGGGCCAGCTCATGGCAGGCCGTGTGGGCTCCTACTTTTTTGTCTAGTTGGCCTGGTTCGGCTCGCAAGTCGAAAAGTAGGGCCCATGTCACGCCCCCAAAATAATTACAATAACCCAACTCCAAACAACTAGTACAAAGTGACATAAAGGAAATAACAGGCTTTCATTAATCAAAGTTAATATACAAAATGTGACACATACGATATGCATTCATAAATAGTTCATCCTGAATCTACAGCATATGTTACAAGTAGTGATAAGAAATGAAAGTTAAACAAATATTTACTTTCCAAGGCCATGCTTGGTTACAACAAAATGGATATAAATCCAATATATGTAAAGCTCTTGGCTTGAATCAAAACAATAACATAGTACAAAAAGAGAAGCCTTCAGCTCTGATTCCTCCCAGGCTATTGCCTTGGCGGAGGTATTTCACCAACACCTGAAGATGGTTTTTCCCAAATAGGGTGAGCCAAAGCCCAGTAGAGATAATCTAACACAAAATATGAATCTTAACAAAGATATAAGTATAATGTGCACATACAATGCCCGTGATTAAAATCATTTACAAATCTTTTCCAAAACTATGCTATGCCAAGCTTCATAGCTCAATTCATTAATTGTGTCCATTTCAGTTAATCAACGAAATTGAGGATAAAACTCAATGGGTCTCTAATAAATATAGTTATCATACAAACACCTCTATTTGTCATTTTACGATAATTTCGTCCGTGGGAATCGACACCCATGTATACGTGTGATTTTTAGGACTTTCACCCTATACACACTGGCCAACTTAATTTAATAGAGTCCATCCCCTTTCTTCTCCCAAAGCTGGAGTATATCTCCTTTCTCTTCTCAAACATCGTACATATACAATGTATTAAAACATAGTCATATTCAATGACAACCAATAAGAGATTAGTTTTAATTCTCCTAATCCTCATGCAATTTCTACAACAATCATAGTTATCCTCGACCGATAGCCCAAAACAAATATTTCTAAACAGATATACATTCTCCAAGACAGATAAACTATCCAAATTTCCATAGGTGAAAAATAATACATAACCAACTCCACCATGCATAAAGGTCTATCCAATTTCACATTTTCAATACCAATTTCATTTATTTGTACAAAATAAATAACCGAGACAATTTAGGGCAAGACTTCATTTTCTTCCAAAATCTATTCCAAGTGTCAAAATCAATAAATTTGACACAATACATCTTCATAGTATTATTTGATATTTTTTTCCAGTCTACTATTGCACTCCACCGACACTATCATCGCTCTCCACCAGCACCACTACCACTAACAATGGAACTCTTTCTCTACCGTCTTCCACACCACTATCGCTCGTGGCATCCACAACCTTAGATCTGAGATCACTCTCTCTCTCTCTCTCTCTCTCTCTCTCTCTCTTACACGCGCGCGCGCGCGCGCACACACACATTCTTCTTCTTATTCTCTTGATTCTCTGTTTTCGAAATCTGTCTCTTTATCTCTTTTTCTTCTTCTCATGATGCTCTGTGCTTCCAAGTAAAAATTTACTCTGGTTCATGACACAACACTCTCTTGTAAAGCCATCATCGTAGCTTGTTTTAGAGTAAAATTTTATTTTGAATCATAATAAACTTTACTATGATTCAGAGCAAAAAGTTTACTCTGTAATTTAAAAATTAAAAAAAAAAATAAAAAGGAGAGAGAGTGAGTAAACTTTTATTCTGAATCAGAGTAAAATTTACTACGATTCAAAGTAAAATTTTACTGTCATTGAGTAGATCAGCATGTTGTTAACCAAAGTAAAATTTTACTATTATACTAAATGAACGAACCAGAGTCAAATTTTACTTTTAGATTTATGAGCAAACAAACAAACAAGCAAACAAAAACCCTTTTGATTTTTCATTGCAATATCTTGATTTCTCATTTTTCTGTCAAATCTAAGTTTTTTTTTTATTTTTTTTATTTTAATCTCAAATCTAAAGTTATTGATATCAAATATGAGTTCGTAGGTATTAAATCTGAGATGGTGGTGGTTTGACGAGCTGACCGGGTGCAGGCTCGATCCCCGTCATAATTAGCGAAGTGGCATCTTGAAAGTATTACATCACAAACTCTCTGGCATGGCACAATTAGGTTGGATTACATCTAAACTTCTATAGGCCTCACTGAA